CCCAAGACCTCACCTAATGGTGGCCTCTGGGATTAGTAGCAAATAAGGTAAGTTTCCCTTGTTTGGGGCCGCCGCTGGCATCAGACTCACATCGTGGTGCCTCCCCTTCTTCCTGTGGCTTGACGAAGTCAGGAGCTTGTTCTTTGCTGGTTACCAACCCCCCCCCCCCCGTTCTTTCATCTGCCTCTTTTCACTCCCCCGTCGGCGTGTCCCGTCTGTCTCTCTCCTGCCCAGCCTCTCTCCCTCCCTCTAGTAGGGCTGATCGCCATTGGCAGCCCTGATGCAGGAGCTCAGAGTTTTGAGGGAGGAAGCAAAGGGTTGGGGGGAAAGTGCTACAGCCAGAAGGGACAGCGCAGGCCTGGCATCTATCAAATCCTAGAAGATTCTAGAATGCAGGACTGGCAAAGAGGCAGGACCTGGGGAGAGGGGAGTAGAGGCTGGCTGGGGTCAGACCATAGGGTTTTGAGGCCAAGGTCAGGACGGCAGAAAGAAGCCACTGGAGGCTGCTGGGTAGGCATCACATAGCCTGGCTGAGGCTCAGAACCCAGGCCTATAGCTGCTTTGTGCAGACTGGCTTGGGGACAAGGGGAGGCAAGAGGGCAAGGCAAGGAGAGCCCCCGACATGGTGACATTCCTTCCTGGTGTGCCTCACGCCAGCCCAGGAGCCTCAGGAGGGAGAAGTGGGGCCTTGGATCTCTGGGCTTGCTAGCTGAGGGAGAGCAGGTGCCGAGTAGGGGCCAAGAAGGGCCCCTGACCGCCACCGTCTCTCTGTCCCCAGATGCCCGTCCACCAGAATCTCAAGGAGCTGCTGGCCATCAAGGCGGAGCTGCAGAAGCGCGTGGAGGACCTGCAGCGGGAGTTGGCCACGCGCGCCTCGTCCTCATCGGAGCGGGGCTCCTCGCCGTCCCACTCGGTCACCCCCGTCCACACCTCCGTCTGAGGGGCGCCCAAGGCCAGCACTCGTGGGCACTCCGGCCGGCCAGGACCTCCCGCTCGGCGGCTCAGGCACGGGATGGTAGCTTGTGATCTTGTCTTTTAGGATGAGGCCCGATGTCTTCCCAGTCTGGATGGCACTCCCCGCCGCGACCGTTTGTGTGGTTAGGTGACCACGCCCACTGTCATCAAGTGCTTTGTTTCGTGAACCATTTCCCTCCGCTCCGTGCTCTGCTGCGACGGCCAACTCGCCGCGGCTCCGGGGGTGGGCGCGAGGTGTAGGGGTAAGGGGTCCCCCGTTTCTTTCTGAGGTAAGCCCTTCATTTTCAGAACCCCCCGGTCCCTTACAGACCGCGCTGGCCATGGGGCTGCTTTCGGCCCTTCGCACGGGCTCCACGGGCCTCTGGGCCTGACTGTGGCGTCGGGTGCAGCGCCGTTGCCAGGCCTCCGGCCCTCGTCGCGCCCAGGGCCTTCTGCACCCGTTACTGTTGTGTACATAGAAGGTATTTTTAAAACAGAGAAACATGCCTTTATTTTCCTATGTCCTTTTTTATGTTTAGACTAGTCACCTGAGGCGGCTTCTGCTTGACTGGGTGAGACCTTGTCAAACAAGGCTCGAGCCAACTTCCTGCCGTACACCTGCAGCGGGGTTGGAATAGGGTCGCTGGACCAGCGGGGTCCCGCCGCCCCCCCGACACAGGTGCTTGCCTCCCCAGGCCGCTCCAGGCCGGTGGCGGCGGCAGCAGCGGTTCCCAGCCCCCACCCCCGCCCGGGGCTGGCGGGACCCCGCACTGGGCCTCCGCGGGGCCGTCCCAGGGCCGTCCGTCCGCTGCTCCCTGGCTGCCGCGCCTCACCCCTGCCGTCCCTCACTGCTGCTGTCCACACCCGAGCGAGCCCGCCCTCCCCTCTTAGCGGCGGCGGCAAGGATTCTCCTGTCTCGGAGACCCCTGTCCGCTCCCCTGCTGTTCCGTGACACACCACCGTGCTCCCTGGCTTGCTCCCCCTCACCGGGCCGGCGTGGACGGGGTGGGGAGGGGGTGGCGGGGCCCCAGGGGCCTGTGCTACCACCCACTCTGCCCACGGGGGGGCCCCCCACCCCGGTCAGCCCCAGCCATGCCCGCCCCATCGGCAAGCAGCACAACAGCCCCTTTCCTGTGTGTGTGCCTGGCACACAACCGTCTCTAACACAACTTGAAGTGCACCGTTGTTACCTAAGCAGTTCTTTTATTTAAGTGTACTAGAATGTAAAACATTCATGGCTCCGATTTTTAAAAACCGGTACAGTATTGTATTTGCCCCATCTGATACACTGTATTTCGATCTGTAATTAAAATAATATGTTTGCTCCATGGTCTTATTTCTTTAAGTTTTTCTAATTTTTCCCTTGGGGAAGATGACTAAACCCTCCATACCTGTTATTTTATGTGCCAAGCATAGTTAATACACATAAAGTGTCTTTACAAGATTTAACTCATTTACTAAATCCTGAACGCCAGAAACCAGGTCTTCAGTGTCTTGACCAAAATGATGGGGGTAAGTACTCGGATTTTAAAATCCAAAATGCTCCTCAGTCTTAAGCTTAAGAAAATGCTGATGGGGGAAGGGCCGGAGCCACTGGAGTCAGCAGCAGCTCCACAGAGGCGCGGGGCTCTGTCCAGACCTTGAGTCCTAGAGCTGGAAGGGGACAGACTTTAGAGAAGCCCTGGAGTCCCCACCCCAAGTCTACAGAAGAAATGCTGGCCTTGCGTCCCTGTCCCCCTCCACGCAAAGGTCACTGCAGCTGTGGGCCCCAGCAGCGACACCCAAGTGGCAAGGCCGGGAGGGCCACCGCGTAGCCCCTGGCTAGCCACGAAGAACTTCTTTACTGTGTCTGGGCCACCTACCTCAATGGGGAAATCCCCACGCCCACTGCATCCTGCTCACCCCCAGCGGTCTGGAGGTGCTCTCGGTTTGCAAGCCAAGCGGTAAGGGGATGACAAGGGCGCGCTTGTCCCCAGACGGGCCACTCTGCGCAGCTGCACGACCGATGGCGTGCTTGACCCAAAAGACTCCACACAACCCGAAGCCGCCCTAAATACTGGACTTCTTTGATGAAGGAGCAGCGGGCTGTGGAATCAGGAGTGTAAGGCCTGCCTCTGCCCTCTCGGGTGACCCCCAGACCTCTGCTCATCCCCCGGCAGCTCCGGGGAGGGGCCCTGACATCGAGCCCAGCCTTTCATCAACAGAAGAAACGCAGGAACTCTAACCTTCAGGAACTCTAACCTTCTGGAGAAACACCTCGGGCGGGGGTGGGAGGTGGGGGGAGTGGGGAGGAAGGTGGACCACAGGTACCTTAAGGAAAAAAACGAGCTGTCACTTGACAAAGGAAGTCCCTTCACGCCATCAGAATACAATGATCTGTTAGGTTCCATTTCCTTTAATGCAAACACGAGACAGTTCACAATTCACATTTAAACACAAGCACAGAAAAAGTACAGGGCTTCTGAGATCAGTCAACACTTCTTCCTCAGACAAGGGGCAGAGCACTCCCCAGTCAGGAGCCCAATGGGAGGGCCTGGCACTGTTCTCTGGGTCCCACTCCAGGAGGGTGCCCCCCACCCCTGCCGCCCCCCAGGGGAGTGGCTGTAGACCAGAGATTCTCAACTGGCCCTTCTGGTTCGCTCTACCTTCCCTATCGTCCCGGACAGGCCCGGTAGCCAGGCAGACGCAGGTACAAGAGCCTAGGCTTCTGCAGGCGTCCCTGCCCGCCAGCCCCGGCACCAGCGCTCTGCGAACAGGTGGCGGAGGGACCTCCCTGGCCTGTCCCGTCACTAGGAGGTCCGGCTGCTGGGCTGCGGTCTCCAGAGCCGAGGGTTCTCTTAGATCGCCACCACTGAGAAGTACATCAGAGCTGCAGGAGCTCGGGGTCCCCCCACCACGGGAGCCGCCCTGTCAAGCTCGAGGGGACAGCTGGGGGGCGGGGGGCACGACCCACCTCAGGGCTCCTAGCTCCATAGTTCTAGCCACCACCGTGCCGCACCTGGCCATGCCGAGCGTCGCACGGGCCACGTCACTCCTCAGCCTGGCTGCCACCGTGACTGGGCCTCCTCTAACTTGCCCGTGGCAGGGAGAAGTCATTCGCCACCCACGAGTGTGGCCTTGTCTTTCCTCCTTTGAGATGCCCCGGGGACCTTGGGGGGCAGGCCAACTGCACCCCAGGAGCTGCCGAGGCTGCCCTGACCCTCCCCCAGCTCCTGTTACCAAGGACACTGGGTGGCAACGGTCCATGGCTGCAACCACCCTCCAGCGCGGCCGGCACCAGCCAGGGCTGGGGCCATCAGTCCTCGCTGTCCTTGGTGACAGGGACCAGCCTGGCCAAGCTGGCAACTCGCAGAGGGCTCTCGTCAGTGCCCCACACCGGCGCGGCGGACACATGATCCTGGCCTGCGTGGGCCGAGCCCCCCGCCGGGGAAGGGACCCATCCGGGCGGCGCCAGCGGGAAGGAGCTCAAGGGCAGCCGGGGACGCCCCCCATCCCCCCACCGCACGACTAGGTTCCTCAAAGCGCCGCAAACACGAGTTTCCAGCCTGCGGGCTATGCTCCAGTTCCGACCGTTCCCTTCGGAAGCCTGACTTGCCTCGTCCCAGCTTAGAGGACGCCCAGCCCGGGTGCCACGCAGAGGGGACGTGGGGTCGAGTCAGTGGGACCCTGTCTTCCTGCTGACTTCTGCTTCAGGAAGTGCTTCTGGGCCCCGCAAACTGGTCATCGGTAGACAGTGGCTCTAGACTTTGGCTCAGTCTCAGACAGCAGAGCACCCAGGGACAGGACCACACGTGGGCCAGACAGAACGTTCCAGGCGGCTAGCCCAAATCAGACAGCTCCGGGCCAGGTGAGGGGCCAGTCCCTGGGTTCTGGTGTTTACCACAGGGACTGTGGCAGCCCAAGGGCTTTGTATCTGAACACGACAGGCAGTCAGCCTTCTAGACACACGGAGCCAGGCGTGTTTCACAAACCCAGCAAACGTCCCCTTCCCCATCCCCCGTCCCACCTCCAATACAGGTTTAAGTAAAACACACGCGTGCTTCTGGCTCTGCCACCTATTCTTTACGTCTGTAGCTTCTGCTACCAAAAGAGGCACATGTACAGGGTGGAAGGGGGACACACATTCCTAAAAGCTAATCACGGCAGCCAGGAGGCCACACCCAGGCCCCTATGGAGTCAGAGGAATCGGGCCCCAGAGTCACAGCCTCCTACTCGTCCAGAAGGTTCCTAGGCTCTCAGGACGGGACTATCAATGCATGCACTTCAATAACGGAAAACCACCGCGTGCACCAGCTCTCCGGAAGGCCGGCAGTGCAAAACCCGGTGGTGTGCGTGTGTGTGTGCGTGTGTGTGTGTGCATGTTGACCTGACGCTCACTCATTCGCTCCTCGCAGGGGCGGCAAGCGAACCAGGCGCTAGCTGACGTCCCTGCCAGGACCCACACGACCCTGGGTTCAAACTCCCATCCCGGGCGCATCAGAGTCCGCGTGCCCCCGCCGTCTCGGCGCCGCAGCCCCAGCTCACGCAGGCCGGGCCAGGCCGGCTTTGGGGGTGCGGTGGCCCAGCGGCTCTGAGGCTGGTGCCGGCTTTCCGCCGGAGCCGGGTCTCAGATGCGACACACACACGCTGCACACACACACCCGCGAGCTCATCTGGAGTTAGAAGGAGAAGCAATGACGTCAGAGAAGCAGCAGGGCAGCCGCAGGTCACGGTGAAACGAGGAGCTGGTCGCGAGCAGTGGCCCTCAGATCCGGGGTGCATCGGAGGGCGGCGGCTCGGCAGCCTGCGTCTGTAGCGTCAAGTATTTCACTGGGGAGAGAAGACCTCCGTCAGCGGGGAGACCTCTGGGGCAGGGGTCCTCCATCAGGGGGGAGTCCTCTGGGGCAGGGGAGTCCTCCATGGGGAGGGGGAGAGACCTCCGTGGCGGGGCTGGGGGGGCGGCGGAGTCCTCTGTCAGAGGGGGAGACCTCTGATGGGGAGGGAGTGCTCTGTGGTGGGGGGAGACTTCCGTTGGGGGGGGAGACATCCCCCCGGGGGGGGGGCCCGGGGGGGGGGGGGGAGCCCTCCCCATGCTCCCCAGTGCACAGGAGGCTGTCTGTCCTGTCCAGGGGCTGAGGCAGCTTGGCCCCTCCGGGCCAACCTCCCCTCCAGAGGCCACCCTGTCCCCAGTCAGGGTGACCCTGGGCCTGGGAGAGCAGGAGGAAGGCAGACAAGCCCCGGGAAGAGTTCAGCCCATGTCCTCGTGGGTAAAGTAGGCGCACTCCTCGCGAGGCGCACCGGCCAGTGGCGGGCGCTCACACAGCGGTGCCTCAGGGCCTTCGAAACGACTCTAGCAAAAGCCACTGTGGCTTGCTTCCATCTGGTCCCCTCCAGGGCCACGGAGCCCGTGCAGGGTGGCACCGCGATCCCCGTCCTAAGCAACAACATTTGCCCCCGCGACAAAGCCACGGGCCCGACCCCGCTGCTGCTTTTGGCCCCAGTGACAACACCCTCGGCCACCCTGCACTTAGAGGGCAGATGAGAGGCTCTTCGTTGAAGGCCACCCCTCTGGGCCGCAGGCAGCCTTCCAAACAGAAAGCCACAGGCCTCATTTCCAGGTTACCCACAGCTCCGACAGGGCACGGGGGCCCCACAGTGCACGAAAGCGCCCGACCCACCACCAGCGTCCCTGGCCCATGTCGTGAAACGAATCTGCTCCTCCTGGGGACAGTGCAGTGACGCCTGGGCCCCAGCAGCCGCCCGTTCTGGCCGTAAACTCAATCGACAGATGCCTCTGGCCAGCAGCCCTGCGGCAAGAAGGGCCCGTGAGGCCTCACCTTGGGGTTCCTCACACACAACGGCTTCCAGGTTCTCTCCCTTCACGTAGTCCGCATTCAGACCCTCTGCAAAGGGCAAAGAGCAGAGCTGGCGGCTGACACAGAACTGAGGGGCCCCCGGCCAAGCCCCGGGGTTCTTGTCACAGTTCTCAGAGAGGACGCCCAGCAAAGGCCCCTGACCCACATCCCCCTTGGGCAGGTGCCACCACATGGGAGCCCGGGGGCCCGGCAGCGGGCTCAGCACCGCCCACGGGTGTGCATGCCAGCCTGGGGTCCAGCGAGGCGGAGAGGGAGCCAGGCGCCGCACGAGGGACGGACAGATGCAGCTGCAGAGGGGCAGACAGCCGGCCGGGGCTCCAGGCGGAGATGCCAGCCAAGCATCCCGCCAGCCAGGGCGGGGGCTTCCCAACGACACCCGCACCCTCGGGCCACCGGCTCCTCCAGCTGCCGGGAAGAAGTGCCACCCGCACCCCCATGTGTGGGAGGGCCCAGACCGCAGGGAGCTGCTCCGGGCCGCTGTATGGGCCTTCTCCCCACTGACTTCCCAGAGGTGCTCGGGGACCCTCAAAGCATCCTCTGCATGCCGGCACTCAGGTCAGCGAGCACTTGGGATCCAGAGCAGACCCAGCCTGCTGCTACTTGGGGGGTTGTCCGGAGTCCACATCCTAGCCCTGGATAAGCAGAGGGCTGCAAGCCTTATCAGAGCCCTGGGCCTGTGGGCAAATCGGGCCATGGTTCTCACCAACCAAATGACTGAGCACTAGGCACAGACTGAGTCCCTCAGCCATCCCGGGCTATATTCCTGTGGACTGAGGCAGGCGAGGGAGCCAGCGGAAGCTGCTCCTGCCTGAGCGCCGGCGGCTGGGAGATGCACCCGAGCCTCCAGATCACTGTACCACGGCCGCCCTGCCTGCGGGAAGGCTTCTACCTGCTCCTCCGTGACGGCTGCCAGCAGGCATCTGCCTCCCAGATAGGAACCCCCAGCCGCAGCCCCGCTGGGCCCAGAGACAGAAGGCCTGGCGGCCGGCCTCCTCCCACACACAGCAGGGCAAGCTACAAACCATCGGGGTCACAGCCAAGTGGGTGAGCGCCAGGGGCAGGGAGGAGGGTGGGGAGGAGGCGCAGGAGTAGCGGGCAGGGAGGGTCCACGATGACAATGACGTACTGTGGCCAAAGCAAAAGAGGAAAGTAAGTGGAAGCGCGTCGTTACCTTGACCTTCTGCTGCGTCTGAAGGCAAGACACAAAGCTTAGGACCCTGGCAACAGACCACAAGGGCCTTCTGCGAGATGCACAGGCCCCATCACACTGTATCGCTGAGGGCAGAGATGGAAAGCAGAGGGTCCCCAAAGCCTGGGCCCCTCTGGTGGCAGTAAAGGCTGGAAGCAAGGGGGACAGCCCCCCTCAGTAACCACGCGCCATCTCCCTGGGGCTTCCCAGCACACAGGCCACCTCCATGCGGGGCTGGCCGTGGCCACTCTGGGCAGAGGCTTGGCAGAAAGGGTAGGAATGGCAAGTCCCAATCCCAGCTTCTCAGGGCCTAGTTGCTCCACAAACACCCATGGGGCTCCTCCTAATTCCCACCCGGCCTGGGTGCCAGGGACACATCTGTGGATGTCGCACTCCTGGCCTCCTCCCTCCCCCACCCATGAAGCTGCCACACAAGGCAGCGTGTCCTCGTTCGGCCCCAAGGGCCCCAGGCCCGGTCGGCGGAGGGCGCTGTGGCAGCGCGCAGCAGGGGTGTCCACAGTTCACAGGCTGGGAGGGCAAGAAGACCTCCTGCGAGGGTGCTCTTGGCCCAAGGATGAGACCAGCTGGGTGAGAGGAGGGACAGCAGAGGGAGCAGGACACACTCAGGGAGTGGCTTCTGCGAACAGGGGCTGCTGGTGGGGTTGGAGCCAAACCAGGAAGGGCTTTGAATGGCCGAGCTCAGCATCAGGCCCAGGACCTGGAGGGCAGTGGGGAACATGGGCAGTCCGGGCAGAGCCGCTCTTCTGGCTGCCCCAAACAGAGGAGGATGGGGACAGCGGGGCAGGCTGGAGACTGATGGAACCATCACGATAGAGGATGGGGAGACCCAGCCCCGGACAGGCAGAGGCCATGGCCGCACTGACGGAGAGGTGTGGCCCCAGAGCAGACCTGTGCAGGGGACACCAGCCCTGCGAGGGGGACCTCACTCATGTGGGAGGACTCTGAGACAGGAGCGGAGACACCTAACAAATTGTGAAGAGCGCTGATAGTGCAGAAGCAGATACGGAAGGGAGGTCTTTGTCAAATTCGGGGGATACTCCATACTCGGCTCCCTTCTGTGAGGACAATGCTTGCACAAGTGTGTCCAGGGAAGGGACTCAGGACAGCATAGATTCAGCAATGACAAGGACATCTTTGACAGAGGGGAAAGTGGGGGACTAGGAGGTGGACAGACGGACAGTGAGATTCCAGAGGCTGAGGGGGTTTGGGGACCAAAGAAATGGGTGGTGAGGCCCCCACTCAGACTGAGGGAGGCTGCCGAGGGGGAGCCCTCAGGAGCCACCCAAGCACACCTGCCTCCCCCGGCTGTGCCTCCCCCACCAGCAGGCTGGCCACCACCTCCAGGCTGCCCTCAGAAAGACATCCTCGCACAGACGCGCTCACGGCTTGCAGCTGTCCTCAATGACCCCTTTTTGGTTTATTCTCCCTCAAATGTCACATAAATCATTTAACACCATATGCCAAGGCCTTCACGGTCTCATGTTTTCTTTGGCTTTGCCTGCTAACCCGATTTGCAAAGCCTCACACCTGTTTTAGAAAACAAGTGTGAAAATGAGGTATTTTCTCCTCACTTTCCTCCCCCAACCCAGGGTCTCTTCACTGCTCGGCCCTCCCTGTCCCTGTCCCTGCCTCTGGCTCCCCTGTGGATCTCAACTCAATTCTTTCAACAGTCCTCTAAGCCTCTGTTTCCTTGTCGATAAAGTCAGGGTGCCCTTGAACCTGGCCCCTGGCGCTGAGGCGGGGGTCTCAGGGCGGGACACCACATCCAGCGCTCGGCAGTGGCTGGGAAGCTGTTCGTACCGTAACTCTGTCTCCGAATATGCTTCCTCACGGCTGCAACCCCTGTGCCCCGGCAAATGAGCCCTCCTGCCCGGCTTTAATAAGTGCGGATCAGGCGCATCTCCCTGTCAGGAATGGTGCTCCTCAGAGGCGTGGCCATGTCCTCCGCCCCCACCACCTATAGACGTGACCTTATTTGGAAATGGTCTTTGCAAGTGTGATTAAAGGATCTTGAGAGGAGATGATCCTGGATCTAGGGTGGACCCTGCCTGCGATGACAAGTGGCCTTCGAAGAGGAGCAGACACACAGACACAGGAAAAGGCCCTATGGAGGCAAAGACTGGAGTGGTGTGGCCACAAGCCAAGGGATACCTGGAGCTGAAGGCGGCAAGGAAGGATCCTCCCCTACAGCCTCCAGAAGGCACGAACACTGCCGATACCTTGATCTTGGACTTCCGGCCTCCAGAACTCTGACAGAATAGATTCTGTCATAAGCCACTCCTTTTCTTTGCTTTTGAACTGGGCAAGAGAGAACTCTAAGGACAATCCACCTTCCAGTTCCCTACCTCTTTTTGACACCTTCCTATTCACACCAGTCTACAGTAAGGCTTGTGGGTCCACAGTGGGTCAAACAGGATCTCGAGCAGGGTGACCATGAACAGTTGTGCAGGTTGTGCACTGAAATATGAATGGTGCCCCTGGAGTACTGCTGCACATAGCCTGTGTAACTGTACATGGTGGCCCTGGTCAAGAACGTTGTCCAAGACTAAGAAAGCAAATATAATCGCCAGAGGAACGAAGAGGTGGAGACTTCTGCATTACCCACATCCAAGCATTCTGGGGCCTAAGCTCATTTGTTGGCCTCCAGGTTAGACTTTAGGGCAGAAGCCAAGACCCAGAGAAAGGGCAGGGAGGTGGAGCCTCACATGAGATGCTCCTAAGCGTCAGGAAAGAGGAAAATCATGCTTGAGCCAGGGCCTCTCACTTGAACTAAAAATTCCCAGTCCCAGAGACACTCCATCAGCAAGCAGTGGCACAGCAAAGCTGTGCTGGTGACACGACTGGGGGTACCCTTCCTGCTCCCCTTCGCCAGGTCCCTACCGGCTGGGCAGATGGGGCTCTGTCACTATTTGGCTTACAACTGAGACGCCCCGGCAACAGTGTAAAATGAAAGCAGGCAGGGAGGGAGGCAAACCTCACCCTCTCTTCGGCCCCTTGCCTCCCTGCCTCTTCAAAGCGCGTCATTGCGCTGGCGCTGCGCTGGCCCTCGGAGCCCCCAGATTGCTGCCTTGTGCCGAGGAGGCTGGCAGCATGAGCAGGTGAGGCCTGAAGCCGGGCGGAGACCCCAGGCTCTCTCTGCTCTGTGTAAGACACACGTCCACGTTCCCTGGGCGCTGCTCACGGAAACACCGCAGCCCGGCCTTGGCCCGTCCGCCGCAGAAAGCCCACCCAGGAGTCGGTCTTGGGCAGGCGATGGAATGGACCGGAATCGTGCCCCCATTGCTGCCCCTCCTCCCTTGCAAGACCTTGGCCGCTGGGTTTGGAGGCCACAGCGTGGCTGCACTTACGCTGGATGCTGAAGCAGAACTTCTTCTGCTGGTAGGAGATGTAGCTGGAGACCGCGCCGATCAGGGCCATGGCTAGGGCACTGGCCACACCCGCGATGGTGCCGGCCTCGGCTGACACTCCTAGGCAAAAGGGGGGGTTGTGTGTGAAGAGACGTGGAACCAGGCCGACAGCCCCACGAGATCAGCTCCAGCGCCAGGCTCTTCTCCCCCCACCAAGCTAAGCTCATTCAAACGCCTGCGCCCCCCAGGCCAGAGTGACAGGGCAAAGCCACTTCTAACTAAGGCATCTGCCAAGGGCTTCTCGTTTTGCATAAGGATTTCCACCTTGGGAAGCTGGGGTCTCAAGCCAGCAGGCTTCCCGTGGGACCACCTTCCTGGGGACCTCAATTTTCATGCTTAATTCTTTTAAATCACTGTATCCCTCTGCTGCCAGCACAAAGTCTCCTCAGGACACAAACCCACCGGATTCTGAGTCGTCACTGCCATACCGCCCATCACCTGGAAAAAGGACAAAAGCCGTGAGCCTGTGACCCCCCAGCCCCACCCCCCGACACCTTCCAGTAAATCCCCAGTGGGCTTCTACCTGACTCTACAAGACCTGCTTCCTGATGCCTACCAGCTGCAAAGCCCAGGCCGCCAGGTACAGTGACTGTGCCCGAGCATGTGTTCTAGCCCAGCTCTTCACACACGGGATACTTTGTGGCGCGGTGAAGCAGGTGCGCCTAGCATCCTCATCTTCCAGGGCAGGGGGCGGGCTCGCTGGTGAAGGACTTGCCAGCAGGTGGCAGAACTGGCCCCATGCCAGGCGAACCTCCTTCTGGATGCTTGCACTACCCGTAGCCCATGTCCGTACCGTCTCTTGTAGGAAGTCCAGATTCTTTTTTTTTTTTTTAAAGATTTTATTTATTTATTTGACAGACAGAGATCACAAGTAGGCAGAGAGGCAGGCAGAGAGAGAGAGGAGGAAGCAGGTTCCCTGCTGAGCAGAGAGCCCGATGTGGGGCTCGATCCCAGGACACTGGGACCATGACCTGAGCCGAAGGCAGAGGCTTTAACCCACTGAGCCACCCAGGCGCCCGGAAGTCCAGATTCTTTATCTCATTGCAAAAAATGCTTCTATGAAACTTCAAAAAAAAAAAAAAAAAAAGACGATGACGACGACTAGCAGAAAAGCAACTCTTAACTCCACCACCCAGAGAGATTTTGCAGTGGATATTTCAATCGACTTGACTCCTGGGCCTGGCGCTTCACACGCTTTTCTCCCCGTCCAGATGTTTCCGTTTGTGTACACAAACAGGTAGGCACACAGCTACGCAGGAGCACAAAAGCAACTGGAGGCTGGCCATCCCCGATCCAGTATTTTGAAATCTGAAAGGCTCCAGGACAGATCAGTGGGTGGCTGGGATTAGGGTGGAGGAGGGGAGGGAAGGAGACAGTGTGACTCTGAAAGGGCCCTGCGGTGACTAAACTGGTTTTTCTCAGGGCCCTGGTGGTGGTCACATGTGTCTATATGCGTGAGCATGCTAGAACTGCACAGAACTCAACACGTGCTTACCTCCCCACACAGCAGCGCCCTAATGAGCAATGTTGCCATTTTAGGACATTCAGTAGCTAGAGCTCTCCCTTCTCAGGGCAGAGTGCTCTTTCATGGAAGGGGAAGGGGTGTATCCCCAGCGCCCAGGATTTTTAAGGGAAACCGCTCTGGATGTTGGAGGCAATGAACTGTGACGCTTCCTTCGCCAGTCGGAGCCTGGGGATGTGTAGATTCGTGGACTGCAACACACGCGCCCCTCTCATGGCGGGTGTCGGGACCAGGGGAGGCTGTGGGTGGGGGGGGGCAGGGAGCATAATTTTGCTGTGAACCAACCTAAAACTGCTCTGAAAAATGAAGTCTGTGTTTTAAAGCGTCGGGGTGGGGGTAGAAAATGAGGTTTGTTATGTTCCCACTTAGTGCTGAATCCTCCAGTTAGCGAGGATTGGGTCCCCAATTGGGTAGGAATGGTTATTTACAGAAAAACCAGCACTGGCTTTTTCAAAAGCACAGTCAGTGCTATCAGAGAGCACCAGGGCAGAGGAGGGGCCACCGAGCAGAGAGGAGGGAGCACCGAGCAGAGGAGGGAGTACCGAGCGGAGAGGAGGACACAGGGTCTTCTGTGTATCGGCAGGTCAGCAACAAGGTCGCTTGTGAGGACCCGGAGTCTGACCACGTTCGTTGGCCTGTCGGTGGTCCCGTCTGCTGTGCTGGATGTGGCCACTGCCAAGGAGAGGGGCACGCCCCTCCAAGGTGTCCTCTGCCTATGTGCTCACATCAGATTTCCAGACAGCTTTGAGAAGTTCAACCTCCCTTTTCTTTCACCTCAAGTCTTGAACGTCACAATCTGTACGATCGGGAGCTGCAAGACTGTCCCATGTACGGACTGTACAAGTTGACAAGAAAAGATGCAGACTTCAGTAAAAGGAACAAAAAAAAATTTGGGCAACAGATGCGAACAGGCAATGCAACACGATATATGAAGAGGGTCTAATAAGCACTAAAGGTAAAAAGTGTTTCACAGCTCTTGTAGTCAAAGGAACACCGACGCCAACAGGATAGCATTGTACAGCGATGAAATTTACAAAGATAACAAAACTAGGATACTCGGGGACGGGGAGGACAGGAGCCAACAGCGGCAGGAGGGGACCGTACACTTGGAAGAATCGCATCATTTACACTTTATACTTCTTGTGACTCAGCAAGTCAACCTCCAGGAACTTAGCTGACAAACAATGACGGTTTTCTGTATTTGGCTCTGATGAGGTTTATCAGAGCAGTAAACCGCCGCAGGGAGAGACCTCTCAAAACAGGTACTGATTAAATAAATTATGGTATAATATCATGCAGTCATTAACACAGTATTTTAGAGTACTCTTTAATGACTGAGAAAGATATTCAGGGTCCTACGGAATAAAAACTGGTTTTAAAAAAAGCAGCATGGTCCCATTTTTATAAAAATATTTACAAATGTAATATTATCTAGAGAAAAATTACTGCAAGCATATACTCCTAAGTATCCCTGGTGATCCTCCCTAGATGGTGAAACGATAAAGGAGTATTTTCATAAACTTTATGAGAAATGCTTAATACACCAGCCCATTTTCCCCACAACTGGCGGGACAGCTCCAAGAAGCTATTGCACAGGTCGCTGGCAGGATCTCCATTTTCAAGGATGCTAAGTTTTGCGTCCCCACCTGCCTTCCAGGCTCAGTCTGTTATATACCAGAGACCAGAGCTGCCCTCTCGCACTAGAAGCCCCGTGCAGCCTATCTCCTGCCGCCGTCTGCTTTCGTCCAGAAGCTGATACACCCCCATCGCGGCGCGGCGCCCCGCCCCCAGCTAGAAGAGCTCCCACAGCCATCATGGGCACTGTGCCTGCGGAGAATGCTGGAAGAGGCGGCAGTACCTCGGCGAGGAAGTCCCAGACACGCCCTGTCGTGGGCAGAAGTGCCAGACCCAGAGCGCCCTCGAGCGCAGAAGGCAGCAGCGCCCACGCAGGGAGGCAGGGACGTGGGGCACGGATCTGCCCTTCTTGGACAACAGCACAGCCCAGGGCTCACACTGAGTGCCTGACACACCTGACAGTCACGGAACACTGGCGACATTCTATCTAGAAGTGCTGGGGCGGGGGACATTCAAGTATTTAAGGTTTCTCGTAAGTCATTTCCTCTTCCAGCAGCCACAACTAGGACGTTCAGGTTTCGTAAAAATTTACTTTCATTCTAAGAAGACGGACAGCAGAAATGCAAAATGAAAAGTAAAAAGTTAAAAGCAAATAAAGAAGGAAAAGGATTTTTCTTTTTCCTCCGAGAGGAGAAAGCTCAGCCTCCAGCCACACCACTGCATAGCTGCTGTCCCTGACCATCTTTCAGGAACCCCCCTCCCAAGAATGGAAATGCTGTGACCCTGGACACAAGCAAGCACCAGCCAGTGGCCCCAGCCCACTCTCCCTCCCACTCCCAGTGGATTCCTGGGGTCGGCTTATCAAGGGGTTTTGGACAACACACCAGGGTGGGTGGTCTGGGGGTGCTGACACCTCACCCTCCACTCCAGATCCTTTCCGGACTAAGAACAGATGCAAGGAGCCAGAGGAAGATCTGGCAAAGCACTGGCTTCTCGAAGGGGTAGACAAGCACCCCAGCACCATCAAGGCCAGGGCTTCCTGTTCGTCCTCTTCCCTCTCATGAAAACCCCTTGCAGCTCCCCTGGGGGAAAGCTGGGTTCACACACTGGACCACAGAGTTCACGGCCTCTAAGAATGCACTTACCGGAGGGCCCTTTGGGGTCCAGGACTAAGCGTTTCATGCCATGACCCCAGCACAAATGTGGCCCAGAGGGTCATCAGCCGATCCCATCAGGTGTGTCCCTCTTCCCCTCACAGGGAGGCATGCATGAGAGGGTCTGCTCCCTTTCAGGCCCCTCATTTCCGCAAACACTGCGGTGCGAGGGATACACAAGCCAAATGCAGCAGGAGTGAAAGTGTGTGACTGAGCACGGTGCGTGCTGGCCTGCGCACGCATGATGACAGGAGTCCGAGGAGGATGAGGGAAGGATGGGGCTGTCACATCCGAGGGCTATCCCAGGCCAGGCTACAGACGACCACAGAGTGCTGGAGCCTCCAGAATGGAGGTGACCATCTATTAAGGGATGGGGAGCTTAGCGCTCCCCAGAAAATGAGCAGGAATTCATAGGGAGGAAGAACAGCATTTTAGACAGAGAAGCAGCTGTCTGGGGTTTGCAGAAGAAAGGAACACGCTGCTCATGCCAGACTGTGAACACTCCTACCCACCCTCTAAATTCTATAGCATTTGCCTGTCTGTCTGTCCACCCCTCCATCCGTTCATCAGTTTCTCTTATTTCTACGTCGCATTTCAAAGGCAGTCACAGACATCTGTACTCGCAACCCCTAAACGTAATATATGACCTCCGTTTCCACGTTTGCTTAAGATGCCCTTTTTTAAGGTAAAATTTACGTATGGTAAAACACACAAATCTTATGTGTACCATTTGGTAAGTTTTGGCAGATGCAGACCCATGCGAAACACATCCCTCCACCAAAATGTACAAGAGCATCGCCACCCCAGAAAGTTCTCCTGTGTTCCTGCCCAGTTGATCCCTGTCCACATCCCAACCCCGGCAGCCACGGATCTCATTTCTAACTTTATAGATGAGTTTTTCAAGTATCAGAATTTCGTATGATTGGGCCCATAGTATGTGTTCTCTTTTCATTGACTTCTTTCACTTAGCGGAACATTTTTGACATTTACCCATGTTTTTATATTGGTAATTTGTTCTGTCATGTGAATATTAAATATATCACAATTTGTCTATTCATTCTGCTGCTGGTACTTGGGCTGCTCCCAGCTTTTTGTTTTTGTTTTGCTATTATAAATACAGCTGCTGGGCACCTGGGTGGCTCAGTGGGTTAGGCCTCTGCCTTCGGCTCAGGTCATGATCTCAGGGT